GGTCCAATTCTTGGAGTCGACTCCCACGCGGATCCTACAGGGTAAAAAACACACATGTCACAAATGGGGCGGAAAAGTGGGATAAAAGAGTTGTGGAAATATATTCCAGATAAAGAAATTAATGCTTGAGCAGCTTACCTTGATTGGATTCCACAAAACACAACACAAAAAGCGATTCTGGCACGCCAAAGATTCTGGATTAATAACCCAGGAAGTTAAACAGAAAACCTTCTTTTCTTTGGCTCTAGTACTCGATGGCCTCTTGATCCATTGATAGAAAACTTCAACAAAACTCTTCAAAAGGTATTTGGGCAGATGATACCCGATTTCTTTTTGGACCAAGAAAAAGGCGTGTTGAGTCACAAAGAAGCAGTACCAGAATGGCGGTCCCCAGAACCCGTAAAATTGATTCCACCAGATTCGATGACAGCGGAAATCCAAGAAAGAAGAAAGCGCGGTTAATTTGAATGTGTACGAAAATTCAAGGAATTGTGCAAAATAAATTTGGCAACGTTGCAAAATTCAAATTAGGAACTAACCATAGCCCGCGGCAGATACTGGTTGACATTTAACAGCTGGGAATTTCAACAGCAAAATTTGAAATAACAACAATGGACAAAAGGACTTCTAAACCCAAAGTCCCAGTCTCTATGAGCCAATCAGTGGTTGTTATACAAGATTAACCCTTGTGAACTTATCCCCTTGCTAGCTAAGCCAACATACCAGGTAAGTATTGTTTATTTGCTACCATTACGTGAAAGTTAAAATAATTAATAATTCCCATTTGTTTTAGGCTAAAGCAAGTTAACGCCCTCAACCCCCTAACCGTGGGCTAGTGGAGAAGATGCGTTGTTTGTCCTTTAATCGAGATAAACAGATGATGGTGACCAAAACAGGATTATGTGTTCTAAAGTAATGAAAGCGAAAGTGGAATTTGAATAGATTAAATTTGTAAATAGAAAAAAGATGATGCATTATTTTGTAGGATTGAAATTAAATAAAAATATTCAACTGATGGGAAATCCCATCCTTAATTATTGTTTCAAGTAAAAATATTATATAACTAGATAGGTAAATATCCTCTTTGATATAAACCTTTCACAAAAAAAAAATGAAGGGTAGCATTTAAAGAAAACTCAAATGCTACAGTTGAAACACTCATCAGCAAGTCGTAAATTCGGGATAATATTCCAATTGGAAATATCGAGGCCAATATAACACCTTGAGTAATTTTTGGTATGACTAAACAAGAAATGATTTCGCTATAATCGTTGATTTTTGATATAATCTTAACATTCACCTTTGAATTCGCAGTGGTCGATACATTTTCACCTACGCCCATTACATATTTGTAATTTGACAGAATATTTTTGTAAACCAAGTTTAATTACTGAACCTTCCAAAATAAAGTTACTCTGCGACCCAGGATCAAGCAGCGCTCTTCCAACGTAAACCATTCCTTCATCATCACAAACTTTGATATTTGCCGTAGCTAGAACTGTCAAAGTCGATGAATTGTTCCATGCGTGTCCCGTAGTGGAGGTTTTCAGTGATAGGTTTGAAGCATCATCCACAAGATCTGGCGGAGGCCTATGATGGTGATTCTCGACCGTCATTTCGTCTAGATGTAAAAGCGAATTATATTTTTTTCCACAAATGCGAGAAAATGAAGTATTTGGACAGTTGTTTAAATGGTCAGAATTAAAACAATTTGTACAAAGTTTCAATTTTTTCACAGCCACTATCCTAGCATCTACCGATAGGTTCTTGAACGCAAAGCACCTATAAATGCAATAGTAGCAAGGGCTTCAAAAGCGTCTCGAAATTCAAGCCATTTCTCATATGAGCCGTTAAAAGTTGGTAATTTTAAATCAGGTAGTTTTATAGCTTTTCTAGCAGGTTGGTGCAGGTGCAAACCCCCCACCTCCTCTAATAACTGAATGTCTACTACCTTGTTAGTTTTCGAGCTTTCTTCATCGTCTGTATAAAGAAGTAATTTTAACTGACTAATTAAATCGAAGTATTGTAATTCAAAATCGTCACGCTCACTAACTTCAAGCTCTAAAAGATTTTGTCCCTGTTTCTGGGACTCACTTAATAATATGTCAATATCACACTGAACATCTCAAATTGTGATAAAAGGGGTTCAGCTCTATCTAGCCTGATTCTTAATTGACCTAAAACCAAATTTGTGAGGTTGTTTTTATCAACCGTTGTTATAAAACAAATATGCAGACTATTGATACTCATAAGGAACAGACTCAAATGACACAGCTCATATGAATTGACTTAACAAACCAAATTGCTGAAGTTGTTGCTCCTCTTGACCAATCTAACTGTACTCCTGACTGGAGCTGATACAGTTTTTTTTTAAGCTGTCTGCTTCATTAAATAATTACGAATATTTTCAAATATATATGGCTCGATTGAACCAAATGGTACTTGTAAGTGGATTGCAATAAAATTCTCATTAAATAAAAGACTTTCAGCAACTGAAACTGTCTATTAAAATTAAAATACGGAACAAAATGACAAATTTCTAAAATTATATGCAGAGATAAATTATATGACAAACTAAACTGTCTCCTTCATAGAATAAGGTCTCCTTGACTTAACCAGCATTTTTTTGCTCGTTTTTACCGAACAGCGTGATCTGAGATTATGGACGCTGATTGGCTAGGTTTCGGGGCCTCACTAGGGCCTTGGGTTAATCGTTTAAATTGAGAGCTGGTCGCCCAAGTCGACCCCCTAATTTTGGCCTATCAGCCCAGATCGCGCACCCGAAATCCCAGATCACGCACCCGAAAAAGTCAATAGACCTTATGAACGGACTTTATGCTGCAATGCGACATAGCGTTCAAAAACGGCTAAAGCCAAACCAAAATTGGCATATTGCGTTCAAGTTCGGCTCCAGCGTGTGAAAAACGGTTGGCATTACATGTTCAAAATCGGCCGCGGTAAAGTAACTTTCGGAGGTGCTTTCAACTGAATCTAGAAATGGTTATAAAGTCTGTTTTTTTTTTTTAAGATAATTCCCCAAGTCAAAAATTTTGTAATTATGTTGGCAACACAAGCCTTTCCTACATAAAAAATTTGAAAGCATTGACAATTTTACATTGTATTGCCAACATAATGTCATTTTGACTTTTATCTTTAAAAAAAAAACAGACTTTACGAATTTTGATTGGATAAAGTGGGGTCTGCCACTCTTGGCACAAATAACAACACATAAATAATATAGTATTTTTAATACCCATTTAGAATAATCCCATCCTTATTTATCAACCACGAATCAGATGAAATAAAAAAATTACCAACAAAAACGAATGTCGTTTGCTAATACGTCAATTTCATGTACAAATAGGAAATTCCTAACCTAATTTTATTTGTGTGTTAAAGAAGCGACGTACGTTTAGTCACTAGAACGACTGGTACTTCTAAATAGGTATTAAAAATTCTATACAATAGGAAAAGCTTCTAGAGGAAGCGGAAGTGGTGAATAGATAATACTGACGATCTGAAAATAATAAATTTAAGAATTTTTACGAAAATTAAAAAATAAACATAAACAAACCAGGGACAAATTTATAGGTTAATTTTGATGGCAAGTGTCATGAGAATTGAGAAACGATATTTGGCGTTCCAGCAAATTCACACCAGATTTGGCATCGCCGGTAGAAGAGAAAAAGTAAAAATAGGTTTTGGCATTAGCATTGCCGTCCTTGAACGCACTGCTGGATTATTAGACCCAGTGTTAGTGATTTTGCCTGCTGGTTGTTTAATCTTACATATTTGCCTTTCAGATATTATTGGCGTCGCATTATCCATGGAAATTTGGCAGGTTGACCCTCGTACAAAAATGACAGTATATGTCAAATTCCAGAGAGTTTTAAGTGTGATTCGCATAATTTCGTAAGTGTTGCAGTATTAAAATTCTCTGGCCTATCTGGCCAATCGAATTTGACACATTTGTCGATATATTTTTCAATAGTGCAATATATCAGGTCTTCAAAAAAAAAAAAACAATCGAAGATTGCTTTGATTACGAAAACGTACGTCGCATTACTGTTTCTTTATTGGTCAGGATTTTTGACATGACATTTTGACATTAAAGTTCATTGACAAAATCAAAGACAAATATTGCTAAGACATACGTTTAAAAAACCATAGCAATCTTTGATTGTTTTTTTTTTTGAAGACCCGATATAAACGGTACCTTACTATTCTTCATACCTGCAAAATCCATTGACATTTTTCAAAATTCGGCATTGTCAAATTTATTTCATATTTAAGATGCTCAAAATAATTTCTAAAGAGAAAATAAGGGAAATAGGAAATAATAAAATGTTACGGCTATTTCGAGAACAGCAAACTAGAGGTTCTTCAGGGAATAATAATTGAAGCCCAACTACCAGATACATTTGGGGTAGGTATAGTTTAAATATAGATGTAAAGCCATTTCTTACAACCAGCAACCAATATTTTTGTTGGACCAAACCCGAAAAAAAAGTTACTGCGAAAACATTTATGCTGTTAAGCTTATTGTTATGGTTACGTTGGATGTATTTTATTTCAAATAAATTGAATAATTTTACTAATTACCCATTTTTTTTTTTAAATTAATTTGGAGAAATATTTTGGAATTGAATCTACTCAGATATTTTACACATTCTGGCAACTCGGTTTTCTGTTTTATAACCCTGTTTAAAAAATAATTTGTCATCAAATGTCATTATTATACGAGGGTCAACCTGTCAAATTTCCATGGATAATGCTACGCCAATAATATCTGAAAAGCATATAATTGTCAATTTATGTCATTCTGACAATTAAAACTGACCAAAATGTCTTCCATAGATTCCAATCGCCGTCGATCAAGCAGAAAATCAGGATCTCTAAAAGCCAGTCTAGAGACGAGAGAATCCGAATTGGTCAATAGAGAACCGATCTGCACAAGAGACTCGATAACCAATGAATTTTTCGATTTTTTTTATTCAAAGTTGGTGAGTGAAGTGAAACCTATGATAACTGATATATCAAATCAGAGTATGGAGTATTACACTGTTTCAGCAGATGATTCAATTAGCTGTGTTTCTGAGTCAGTAGTGGCGGATCTTAATGGTAAACTGGAAAAAACGAGTTCACCAATTTTCAGCATCTCGGAAGATAATTCAAGCAGCCATCATAGTTGTTCCTCAAATTGTACTTGCTGCTGGATGGTTTCGTTTAAAAATCACAACAAATATGAAGGAAATTTAAGCGACAATTTAATGGAAGGCAAAGGAGTGTTTTATTGGCATGATGGGTCTGTTTACAGAGGTGAATTTAAAGATGGATATCCGTGCGGTCAAGGCAAAATAACTCTTCCCGATTTGAGCACTTACGAAGGACAATTTTGTATGGGGTTTTTTCACGGCAGTGGAAATTTCAGTGTTAAATCATCGCCGATTTTATATAATGGCGAATGGAAGATATCCAAAAGAAACGGAAAAGGTTGGCTATTTTATGAAACTGACAATTGGTATGATGGTCTTTGGGTGAATAACAAGAAACAGGGCAGTGGATACAGACACTATCCAAATGGTAGTAAATACAGTGGGAATTGGGTAAATGATTGGATTAGTGGAGAAGGCAGCATGCTGTGGGAAAATAATGACTATTACAGAGGAGGCTGGCTCAAAGGTCAGCGTCATGGCTATGGAGAATATACATGGAACCTAGTAGACCATGGCAGTTTCGTATTTCCCAATTACAATACCTACAAAGGGAATTGGGTTAAATGCAAAAGATCAGGTATAGGCATAATGGATTTTGGTCATGAAAGTGGTGCAAAATTTGCTGGTACATGGCAAGAGAATCGAAAACATGGCCCAGGAGTGATGATTTGCGGTAACGGAATGATTTTGGAGAGAAATCCAATTTTCTGGGATGACAAACCTGCAACATTGGATCATAAAATCGATGAATCTTCAAATTCGCTTCTTTGCCCTAGTACTGATACTAAAGATAAGAGCGGATTAAAGATTTTTAAGAGTATTTCTCAGCAAATTTTTGCAAAGGAAAAATTGGACGCACTTACCACCGAATCCATAGCAAGCCTCAGCGCAAGCAATGCAAACATCAAAATGAGTCAGTACATACAGTTATTGCAAAATAAAACTGGAAATATGCCATCACTCAAAATTCCTATACACAATGTCATCCATGAAGTGGACTTGGAATATTTTATGGGGGATATCACTAATTCAAAGAGTTTTATCCCTAATGATGACAGTAAAGATGAAATTGAAACCATGATTAATTCCAAGGGCGGAAGCGTACGGAATTCCCCCTCCTGCTGGAACTATTTACCCTCCAACGCCGAATTAAGCAATTGCGATCCCTTCAGTACTAGTCAGCAATACCCGCCTAGCTCCATTGAACTAAAAAATCTAATAATAAATTATCTACCACAACTAAGGAATATTTATAAAATGTATGCCACCCTGTGCGTTGATGAAACTAGTAATTTATCATTTGAACCTGTCTTGATTAGGTTGTTTTTATGGCAACTCTATCGAGACATAGGTGTAACCAACAGTGGTGGCTTATCAATTGTAGATATTGATGAAATGTTAATGAAAAATCCAAATAGTTGCTTACAAACATTAAACAATCCTTGGGAACCCATTTATTTCTGGCAATTTCTACAGGCTATTGTTGGGGTGGCTTACCTACTATTCACTACCGAAAATCTTATGGAGTTTACACCTTCTAGCGGATTCATGTACCATAGGATTAGAGATTTTTTGGATAAAAAATTGTTAGTGAATGCTGGTAATTTCCAAGGAAATTGCCTAACACGTTTACGGAACTTAGTTCCTATAGATTGGGTATATAGGTTATATACAGAAGTCGGAGAACATCATACAATTGAGGAATTATTGAAAAATACTCTTCTAAAGCCTGGTCAAAAAACTCCTTGCTACAAAAACCTAGAAAATGAAACAGATAGTGAATATACAATAGAAAATGGTACTAACGTTGTGGTTTCAAACCATCAATTAACATATTTGACCCAGTCAGAAACAATAGGATATGTCAAAAAATATAAAGGCCTCAACGAATTTTCTTGTTTAGGCCGGAGAAAAATCCTAAAATTTATAAGTAAAATATGTCCTCAAATTTTATTACCGACAGGAAAATATCAATTACAATACAGATTATCTTTTATTGAATTCTATGAAGCTATACTGTTGTTATCTTTTGAAAAAGTTGAATTTGATAGATTAGCGATTATTGAAGATTTAAAGTTGCAGTCCAAGGTTGGAACCAAGTTTAGTTTGAGGGACATGTCCAGAATTTCGACGCATTCGGCTGGAAAGAAAAAGAAGTCTAAGAAATGAGAATTATATATTTTGTAATGTTAATTAAAATGAAAAAGAATGATACAAACCAAAAAAAAAAAAAGTTTTATCAATTTTAATAGTTGTTTTAACTTTTTTTGAATGTTTCAGAGTGTTCAATTATAAATTGGGCCACACTCAGTATTTTGTAAACTCAGTAAAATTACTCAAGCTACTTAAATCAAAAAAAAATAATCTAAGATCCCTCGTGAAAACCGCAGTCCTATATTCAAAATAGTCTCTGAGTAAATTCCTTGTGAAGATAAATTATGCAGGAACTTGTGATGTGATTATGAACCGCAGTCTTCTGTTGGTTCAGTCGTCAGTGAACCGTACCCTATACTTTGAGTGGTTGCAATTCGCTTTTAGTGAGATAATTATCTTTTGTTACTGGCCAACTAACTAATGGTTGTTTGATTTATATTAGGTCTCGGCTTGCATGACATTCGATGCTGCTGACTCAGCTGATGTCCATCAGATAACTCCTCTATCCTCAGAGTTAGGTACACCTTCTGGAGGGGTAGTTGGATTGACGGCTGGGCTTCTGGACAGGCGTTGGTCCGCTTCCTTCCATTCCATTTTTGGATCATGTGTCTGCCCATGATATAACCAACTATGGGTATTAGAATTACATAAATGAATAAAGTCCAAATACTGGGTGTTCTTGGAATTGTGGAGATGAATTGCAGGGGTTCATTATTATCGATTTTGTTTTTTTATTTTGTGAAGCTTGTCAAGTTTGATTTCCTGTAAATGATAACTGAAATTAAGTACAGGAAGGCGCGGAGGCGTAGTTTGGATGTCTAGAAAGATGATTGGCTGTTGATTGACCGCGATCGTTTTCTAGTCATTCGAATGGTAGATTTATTAAATAGCTTACGTGTAGCTTCAAGTGTTCGGCTCGTAGTTGGCACTTAAGCATTGCGATCTCTTCTTTTGGAAGAATGAATATCCACTTATTGGACGTATCAAGTTCTTCTTCTTCTTTCTTGGTTATGGCTTCTGCTCCTATAAGGGCAATTTAACCAGCGCATTTGGCTTGGTCCAGAAAGCCGTCTGGTTCTTGGCCTTGACCATGTTTCCGGACTCTGACTTTATAAATATTTCTATTATTCTTCCTGTATGTACAGGGTGCTGCAATTTGGAGTGTTTTAACAGGAAAAACACACTTCCAGACCAGACAGAGGAAAATTGACGTAGATGTCATGAGATTGATTTTCGAGAAACGTCGATTGTCAAAAACCGTATCGCGATATCTTCAATGGTACTATTAATACAGGGCGATTTTCGATTTTCCCCTATTATGAAAAATGGCTATAAGTTTTTTATTTATCAATTTTTTTTATCTCTGTAGGAACATTATGGAGACACTTTTTTGAGCACAATCCAGTGGCGGACTCAGTTTTTTCCTATATCGCTACAGTTTCGAGATATTGACCAAATTCCGATATTTTCAAATGAAACTCCCTATATATTAATAGCTCATTGCATTGCTTTGTTTTTGCTAATTTCAATGATATAAAGTTCGATAGGTTTATATCTGTTTTTCAGTCATAAGAAACAATGTGTTGGAAAGAGACCTTCCTCATTTTCCTTACACATATAAAATCCTTTTCTAACACATTGGTCCTTACGACAAAAACAGATATAATTTTTTTTCTCGAAAACTGTTAGAGATAAACCTATCCAGTTTTATATCATTGAAATCAGCAAAAACAGAGCTATCCAATGAGCTATTAATTTATAGGGTGTTTCATTTGAAAATATTGGAATTTGGTCGATATCTTGAAATCGGAGCGATATAGAAAAAAACTGAGTCCGCCACTGGATTGTGCTCAAAAAAGTGTCTCCATAATGTTTTTACAGAAATAAAAAAAATTGACAAATAAAACTTATAGCCATTTTTCATAATAGGGGAAAATCGAAAATCGCCCTGTATCAATGGTACCATTGAAGATATCGTGATACGATTTTTGAAAATTGACGTTTCTAAAAAATCGATCCCATGACGTCTAAGTCAATTTTCCTCTATCTGGTCTGGAAGTATGTTTTTCCTGTTGAAACACTCCAAATTGCAGCACCCTGTACATATATGTTCTGATTTTGTGTGCGAACAGTTAGTGCTGTGGACTGATTCGCTCCTTTTTCTTCTCTTGCTTTCTTTTTTTTTCCCTTCTTGGCTGGTGAGCGTTGGTTAGTTTAGACAATTACTACAAAGGAGTTAACAACACAGTTATTGGAATTTTTGTTGGGGATTTTGCGATTTGTGAATAAGTGAAATATAATATCTATACGATTTCGGTTACTATGTGTAAAATGGAATGCGTTAGATTTTAAAGGTCAGTTTTGTTATGTTTCAGGTATCTAATTATTTCTTGAATTATCGAGGGGTTCAAGTTCTTTTGAATGTTTACCATTGATAGCGGAGCACTGATGTTATTGTTAATTGCCATTTTGTAGATATCTAGATTAAGTATTTTATTGATAGGGCATTCTACGAATAGGTGATTCAGGTCCTCAGTTTGTTTGCATTCACAGTAGGGGGGACCTTGATTCCAATCCTGTGGAGGTGTTCCCCTGTTATAGGCAATGTATTGATCGCATTCTTACGATCGTGGTTATGTGTCTTCTATCTAGCGGGTGTCCCACCGAAAACTGACAATGGCCTATATCTTGAAAAAGGTAAACCAAATAAACAAAACCCCGTTTGGAGGAGGGTCGGAAGGGGGAACCAAAACAAGGTACTTTTCAGCTCTCCCCCAATCCCCCCTTCAGCTCTCCCCCAATCCCCCCTTCAGCTGTAGCCACCCTAACCTCAAAATCTTAAATGGCACTATGGGTCATGTGATCCCTTGTTTGAAAGGTTTTTTAATTCTCTTAACGAATCTGCAAAAAAAAATTATCCAGATACGAATTTAAATTGTCAGAAAATAGCCCATACTGTCAGGCAGTACAGGGTCTGTTCCTCATAATTAGTGCGGCTTCTACATTTACAGCTTAAACCAAAAAAAAAAAATAAATAAAAAAAGTTGAATACAAATTTTTTTTATCTCTATTATCTTTTGCAAATGTCAAAACGGGCAAATGACAGGTGCCAACTGTCATGATGACAAACACTTGCATTTTTTTAAATAAAACACCCTGTATATTTTTGGCTAAAATGATTGATTTTTTTCTTCTGATTCCAAATATACCATATATGTTGATATTTGGTTCAGCAGTTTTTGCGCTATTTCATTTAAAAATTGCATTGAGCAAGCCTCATCATTGACTGACATTGATATAAGAAACCGGGAACAGACCTAATTTAGGGTAATGTAAATGCATTTTTAAACTTGAATAGCGTAAAAACAGCTGAACCAAATATCAACATATATGGTATATTTGAAATCAGAAGAAAAAATGTATCATTCTAGCTAGAAATATACAGGGTGTTCCATTCAAAAAAATGCAAGTGCTGTCATTATGACAGTTGGCACCTGTCATTTGCCCATTTTGACATGCACGAAAGATAATAGAGATAAAACCCTACAACTTTTGTATTTAACTTTTTTTGTATTTTCTTTTGTTTAAGTTGTAGGAGCCGCACTAATTAAAAGGAACAGACCCTGTACGGGTGTCCAAATTTGGATGGTTTTAATAGGAAACGTCAATTTCTGAGCGAGATACAAAAAAATTAACCCCCCACTCCGAGGCTCAAATTTCATGAAATCTTGATTGGTGCACACCGCATTTTGATATCTTCAACCATTTAGCCGCTAGAGGGCGATTCTCGATTTTGAGCAATACTGTGAAACCTTCATAACTTTTTTGTTTTTGAAAATAATTGATTTCCGTAAAAACTTTCTAAGGGCACTTTTTCAAACAGAATTTAGTGAGGTTTTCAGTTTTTTTCTATTTGGCCCCGATTTCGAGATATTGATCAAAATCCGATTTTTTTCAATAGAACACCCTATATATTAATAGCTTGTTGGAAAGCTCTGCTTTCACTGATTTCGATGATATGAAGTTCGATAGGTTTTTCTGGAATGGTTTTGAAGAAAAAAAATTATTTCGATTTTTGTCCTAAGGAACAATGTGTTGGAAAAGGACTTTATATCTGTAAGGAAAATGAAAAAGGTCTCTTTCTAACACATTGCTTCTTATGACGAAAACAGAAATAATTTTTTTCCTCGAAAACTGTCAGGGATAAATCTATCGAACTTATATCATTGAAATCAGCAAAAGCAGAGCTTTCCAATGAGCTACTAATATAGGGTGTCCTATTGAAAAAAATCAGACTCTGGTCAATATCTTGAAATCGTAATCAAATAGAGAAAAACCGAGAACGTCACTGAGCTCTGCTTAAAAAAGTGCTTCTAGAAAGTTTTTACGAAAATCAATTATTTCCGTGAACATTTCACAGTACTGCTCAAAATCCAGAAATGCCCTCTAACGGCTAAACGATTAAAGATACTGTACCCTGGACAGGGTGTCCAAATTTAATAATAATAATAATAAATAATAAATTTGTTTATTGACATTCAAACATTACAATTTCAAATAATACAAATAGCAATTCTTTTAAGGTTGCCTATATGAAAACATGTAAATGGCAATAAACAGACTCACGTTTGAAGTGTTACACACTTGTTGTGAGAAGGTTGTTTGTGAAGGAATACTTCACAGTTTTATAGTCTTAATCGGTTAGAAAAGTCTTGATCGGTAAAAATGTCTTAATCGAGGATAACGTCAATTTCGAGTTTTTTAAGTCACATTCGAGAATATATTTGCCACATCATATCACTACAGAACACTTTTTTCAAGTCACTTAGATTATATGTTTAATCTACGTCGGTGTCATTATGACACATTTAGTATTGTCATTTGAATGTCATTAGGTCCTTCATAATAGCACTAGTGCGTTTAAGAATTCATAATAACACCCAAATTTTGAAATGAAAAATATACAAAAAGAAAGTTAGTTGCCAGAAGAACCTTTTCAATAATGCTGTCTCTAT